TGGCAAGTTCGGAATTGGAATCGCTTCAGGAAAGCTCAACCCAGGTTCTGCCAAGATGCTCGCTTCCGCCACTCAACGAACTCGTGCTCCCAAATGTAAAAGACGCGGAGCCCCTCCCCAGTGAACAGATCTAGGCGCTCCATGGTGTCACGATAGGCGTCCGGCGCCGGTTTGCTGCCCACGCAAATGAAGCTGCTATGCCTTGAAACAGAACGAGTTGCGAGCTGATGACAAACAAATGGTGGGTAAGCTGGCTACCTTTGAGCCTGTACCTGTACTTTGGGCGGCACAAAAAACACACACACAATGAAGCTGCGATATGTGCCACCAAGTAGCCGTGGATGCTCCACAGGAAAGCCGTGGTAGTAGTTCCCGAGAAATTCAACCACCTCACGCCTCTCCGGGTGGTATGCATCGGGCAGCAACGCACGCTTTGGAATCAGACCTGCGAACTCTTTACCGGACCAGGTGCCGGTAGCTGCATCAAATCTGTGCCGAAAAGGGAACCTGTAGCCTACCTCCTCCTCCAACATGTCAAAACAATTACTTGCTGCGCGCGAAAAGTTCGATGAAGACAATACATGTGCGCCAACCTGTGCGGCATGCAATGCACAGAATTGCCGACGCTTGCCAGTAGCATCTGGGTACCTCGCGCGCTTTCCGCACACAAGGCACCTCAAACTTACAATGTCCACCATTCCATCCTCTCTGCACTTGGTACAACAAGTTGCCCGAGCATCACCTGGCATCCCAAAAACAGGTTGGGCTCTGCCACACCTGCATTTGGCGTTCTTGATGTTCACCATCCCATCCTCTTTGCAGTTGGCACAGCAAGTTGCCCGAGCATCACCGGGCATCCCGAAAGATGGTATGGCCCTGCCACATCTGCATTTGGGGTTCTTGATGTCCATCATCCCATCCTCTTTACACTTGGCACAGCAAGTTGCCCGAGCGTCGCCTGGCATCCCAAAATGCGGTCTGGCTCTGCCACACCTGCATTTGGGGTTCTTGATGTCCATCATCCCATCCTCTTTGCAGTTGGCACAGCAAGTCGCCCGAGCGTCGCCTGGCATCCCGAAGTATGGTATGGCTCTGCCGCACCTGCATTTGGGGCTCTTGATGTTCACCATCCCATCCTCTTTGCAGGTGGCACAGCAAGTTGCCCGAGCGTCGCCTGGCATCCCAAAATGCGGTCTGGCTCTGCCACATCTGCATTTGGGGTTCTTGATGTCCATCATCCCATCCTCTTTGCAGTTGGCACAGCAAGTCGCCCGAGCGTCGCCTGGCATCCCGAAGTATGGTATGGCTCTGCCGCACCTGCATTTGGGGCTCTTGATGTTCACCATCCCATCCTCTTTGCAGGTGGCACAGCAAGTTGCCCGAGCGTCGCCTGGCATCCCAAAATGCGGTCTGGCTCTGCCGCACCTGCATTTGGGGCTCTTGATGTTCACCATCCCATCCTCTTTGCAGTTGGCACAGCAAGTTGCCCGAGCATCACCGGGCATCCCGAAAGATGGTATGGCCCTGCCACATCTGCATTTGGGGTTCTTGATGTCCATCAACCCATCCTCTTTACACTTGGCACAGCAAGTTGCCCGAGCATCACCTGGCATCCCGAAAGATGGTCTGGCCCTGCCACATCTGCACCTGGCGCTCTTGATGTTCACCATTCCATCCTCTTTGCATTTGGCACAGCAAGTCGCCCGGGCATCACCTGGCTTCCCGAAGTATGGTCTGGCTCTGCCACATCTGCATTTAGGGTTCTTGATGTCCATCATCCCAGCCTCTTTGCAGTTGGCGCAGCAACATGGTCGTGCATCATGCTGCAATCCAAAAGACGGGTGGAGCACACGTCCACACACACAGGAGCCAAACCGCCCTGCCTTTGCGCCAATGTTCGGTTTTCTATACACCAGGCTAGTATCGACAAAGAAGCTGTCGGGCGTGCTGCGCTTGCCGTGGTCGCACTCTCCTCACAAAACATGAGGGAGCAGCAACCAGCATGCAGCCCAGCCATCTGCAACCAGCACCAGAAACTGCAACTTATTGACCCATTGGGAGGCTCAAAGAATGAAGCATCCATTCTCTTGTGGCTTTCTTTTTGGGAAATAAACATTTCTGGGTCATCTCACACTCTCCTCTGCACTGCTTCCGGACACTGCCCAGCATCAGCCCTGCAAAAGGGCGCCGGCCCTGCACTGGACATGACAGCCGCGCCTGGCAGCTGCGCATGGCATGCGATTGGCTTGCATTGCCCTGGTGCATGCGCTCGGAAGCCCTCATCCAAAAACATGGGGTCTGGATGGATCCGGGCAATTCCCAAAGCAAGGAACTGCCTTCTTGAATCTTCTCGGATGGACAAACCCCAGACCTCATCGAAAAACAGCGGCGTGCGGATGGAAGGACACACCCTGCCCCGCGCGCCTGGGCCAGGGCCGCGCGGCGCAAGCCCCGCAAAGCCATGGCACCCCCGGCCGCCGTTCGCACGCTGGGCCGGGTGAATCCCCAGAAAGAGGCGTGACCGATGACGGGACAGCCAGGTGACGCGCAGGAAAAGGGGGGGTTGGTGAAAGCTCGGCGCCTGGAGAATAGTCGTTCTGGCGAAAGTGAATGCTGAAGATCTAAAAGAGGTTCAGGAGCCCTTCTACGCACGAAAGAAAAAAAACAAAAACAAGGAAAGAGCATCTGAAAGAAACCAGTGAGCTTCCGTCACAGTAGGCGAATAGCCATCCCCTTGCGGCTTCCTGTACAAATGAGGAACTTGTGGAATTGTTGAGGTTGTTTAGCACCAATCCTGCTTTGAGTAGCAATGAACCAATATCAACGGCCTTGTCGGTACTCTCAATGGCCTATTGTCGAAACCAGCGAATCCAGGGTGCCATCAGTTAGTGTAGCAGGTTGGATTGTACACGGGGGACTTCACCATGTTGGGCAATCATGTGACCCAACATAGCCATGAGTTCATTGGAACATACATATAAATACATAATTATCAACATGATTATGGCTGTAATTATATATATATACTCATCAAAGGAAGTTTAACAAGAAACTTCCGTAGTACTGGAACTAAATGAGCTAGCTGCTTTGACATATAGCTATGACAAGTAGCTAGCATGACAAATAGATAGCTTTGACATATAGCTAGCTTGACAGATAGATAGCTTTCCAATAGGCTTGCATGACAGATAGATAGCTTTGACATATAGCCAGCTTAACACGTAGATAGCTTTCTCAAGTATAGATTTCGTGGCAGGCGCAGCACTTTCGCAAGCACTCTCTGTGAGCTGGGGGATGGCAAGATGCAGAAAACGTTGGCGCTGTGCGTGAATTGGGCTTCCGGACTGTGCGCAAACCACCTCGGCTGCGACGCCTGTACGGCGGCGGTCTCGGAACGGTCTCGGAACGGTCTCGGAACGGTCTCGGAACGGGTTCGGAGACGGGCCCATTGGCACGGCCGCGCGACGGTTTCGCAAGGTTTGAATTGCGTGGCAGGCGCAGCACTTTCGCAAGGTCAAGTATAGATTTCGTGGCAGGCGCAGCACTTTCGCAAGGTCAAGTATCGATTTCGTGGCAGGCGCAGCACTCTCTGCGAGCTGGGGGATGGCAAGATGCAGAAAACGTTGGCGCTGTGCGTGAATTGGGCTTCCGGACAGTGCGCAAACCACCTCGACTGCGACGCCTGTACGGAGGCGGTCTCGGAACGGTCTCGGAACGGTCTCGGAACGGTCTCGGAACGGGTTCGGAGACGGGCCCATTGGCACGGCCGCGCGAAGGTTTCGCAAGGTTTGAAATGCGTGGCAGGCGCAGCACTTTCGCAAGGTCAAGTATAGATTTCGTGGCAGGCGCAGCACTTTCGCAAGGTCAAGTATCGATTTCGTGGCAGGCGCAGCACTTTCGCAAGGTGCTGCGTCCACTCTCTGCGAGCTGGGGGACGGCAAGATGCAGAAAACGTTGGCGCTGTGCGTGACCTGGGCTTCCGGACTGCAAACCTCTTTGTGCACCTCGCCTGTCCCCACCCGTGATTCTGAAACGGTCTCAAGCGGGTGAGAGGAAAAAAAGGAAACGGCCTATCAAGCACCTGCCGCGCGAAGGTTTCGCAAGGTTTATTGGTGGCGCGCGCACCTCGCGCCAGTCTGCACTCATCTCCAAGCTGCGGCGCGTTACTTTCCCGTCGCGTAAGATTCTGTGGCAAGGCGCAGCACTTCGCGTCAAGACAAGATTTCGTGGCAGGCGCAGCACTTTCGCAAGGTGCTGTATCCACACTCTGCGAGCTAGGGGATAGCAAGATGCAGAAAACGTTGGCCCCGTTCGTGAATTCGGCGTTGCGACGCCTGCTCGGCAGAGTGTTCGGGGCGGTCTCGGAACGGTCTCGGCAGAGAGACGGAGAGATCGATATGTTAAAGAAAGAAAGACTTAAAGACAGAAAGACAGGAAGGACGGAAAGAAAGACTGAGAGAAAGAGAGTCAGCGAAAGAGAGAAGCGCGACAAGTGCAGGAAGCCGCAGAAAGACACGGGTGTCTTTGATTGCTGAGTCCAAGGCACTCTGCAAGAGTAACTGTCTTTTGGCAGACTTTACGTGGCTCAAATGTAGTTACTTTCGTGACTTGGGCATTTGGCACACCTCACACCTGACCACACAACTTGTCACACTTTACTCAACCCCACAGTCAGTCAAGCGCTCCAAGGGATGTTGTTTTGTGTTGTTCTGTTTGTGCAGAGAGTCACAGTCTGTAAGCAGTATTAGTGGCGCCCGTGTTTCCCCTCAGGGGGACTTTTTACAGACTACTCAGAAAATCAACAACCAACAACGCATACGACTTTTTTTCAGAGGTTGGTGCTTCGGCCGGCCGCTTGCGCACCCGCTACTCAGGGCAGCTTGGCGTTTCGGCCGGCTGCTCGCACCATGGATCGCGATGACAGCAACACTAGTGAGGACCGCTTTCAGGTCCTGTTGACCTACCTAGCGGCAAACGCCGCAGAACTGCGACAGCTGCAGTGCCAAGACATGGCCTCGCTTTTGCGCACTGGCGAGGCCAGGCGAGGCAAGCCGGCCATTCCAGACAGGGCCGCCTTATACCGGTTCCTTCAGAGACAGGGCCACGCTTTTACAGAGGGGCAGTGGGAGGAGCTCCGGGCATGGGAGGCTCGGCTGTGCGTGTCGCCCAAGCAAGCGCAGCCAGAGCTCCAAGATCAGTATGAAAGGTTTCTCGCGCTGCTTGAGAAACGAGCAGATTTTTTTATTAGCTTGCGCAAGGTGTCTTTGAAAGCTTTATTTGAAGTCCACGCAGCGAAGACCGACAAGGAACTCAAGTTCGGCCAAAATTTCATGCTTCGCTGCTACCCACAGCTTTTACAGGAGCAAAAGGACGAGCTGGCCGAGTGGGAGGCCATGCTTTGTGAGCCTGGCGAGGGCGAGCGCCTGGCGTTTCGGCCGGCGCTGCAGCGACAGCTGGAAAAGTTTATCGCGGTGCTCGAAAATCGAGCTGAGTACTTGCAGAGCTTGCAGAAGCATTCGCTTAAAGCTTTGTTTGAAGCGCACGCGAAACATGATCAGAACCCAAGTCTGGCTGTACCATGCTTGGTTGCTACTCCATGCTTCTGCAGGAGACGGACGAGCTGGCTGAGTGGAGGCTACGCTTGTGACGCTGGCGATGGAGTGCTGGTGTTTAGCATTTATGCTGTTACGATGCTGGCTAAGTTGATCTGCGGTGCTCGAAAACGAGCTGGAGACTCTAAGAGCCATAAGAAGCTCTCTAAGAAAGCGAGCTTGAAGCGACGCCAGGGAAAGCCCAGTAAAAATCTAAGTTCGGCTGTTTTTCATCATGTCCTACCTCCACGCTTTGCATGAGCAGATTGGACGAGCTGGCTGAGTGGAGGCTACGCTTGTGACGCTGGCGAGGGCGAGCGCTTGGCGTTTCGGCCGGCGCTGCAGCGACAGCTGGAAAAGTTTATCGCCTTGCTCGAAAATCGAGCCGAGTTCTTGCAGAGCTTGCAGAAGCCTTCGCTTAAAGCTTTGTTTGAAGCACACACCGTGAAAAATGACAAGGAACTCAAGTTCGGCCAAAACTTCATGCGCCGCTGCTACCCGAAGCTTTCGCAGGAGCAGAAGGACGAGCTGGCCGAGTGGGAGGCCATGCTTTGTGACGCTGGCGAGGGCGAGCGCTTGGCTTTTCGGCCGGCGCTGCAGCGACAGCTGGAAAAGTTTATCGCTCTGCTCGAAAATCGAGCTGAGTACTTGCAGAGCTTGCAGAAGCCTTCGCTTAAAGCTTTGTTTGAAGCGCACGCCGTGAAAAATGATAAGGAACTCAAGTTCGGCTGTACTCCCATGCTTGCTACTCCATGCTTACTACAAGGAGCAAAAAGCGACGAGCTGGCTGGAGGAGGCTACAAGCTTAGAGCCTGGGCGATGCGAGCGTTCGCGTTTCTGGCCGGCGCTGCAAGCGATGTTGGAAAAAGCTGATCGCTCTGCTCGAACATCTGTTTAGTATCGAGAGCTTGTACAGCCTTCGCTTAAGTCTTGTTTGCCGCACGCCGAAAATGATCGCTGGCCTCAAGCTGGTCGCACCCAGTGCGCGCGATCTGAAGCCGGCCGAAGGATCGAGCTGGCTGGCGGCGAACCGCCAGGGAGCCCGGCGGAGGGCGCTGGCGTCGGGCCGAGCAAGCGGTGCGACTGACGAGCGTTCTGCTGGCGAGCCGCCGCGCAGAATTCCTGCAAGAGAAAGAATCTTCTCTTGGCGCGCTGTTTCGCGCTGCCCGTCGCGGCCGCGACAAGGACTGGAGGTTCGGCCACGAGTTCGCGTCTCGCGCGCTGCCGAAGTTGTCAGCAGAGATGGCGGCGCAGGTGCAGCAGGCAGCAGCTTCTTGCCTATGCCCGACAGAGAGGGCGGCGCGCAAGGCTCCGCACGAGCCCAAGCTGCATGTCGAGGAGTGCGCGCTCGGCGACGACTTGCCTCGCCCGCGGCTGCCAAAGTGCTTGCGCCAGCTATACGGCGACAGCTTGGACGCGGAGACCCGCGTCCGAACCTTCTTCCACCGAGTGCACGAGGTGGACACGTTTTTGCAGGAGCAAGAGTTTACGGCCTGCGAGTACTGCAAGGAAGGGTGGTTCGGGACCACCCGGCCACGCGACGCCCTGCCGGGCCAGGTCGAGACCGCTACCTTGAAGAAGAGCAACTTTATCCTTGCGCCAGAGAAGGACTGGCTGGAGCCCGGCAAAGCAATATGCCGCAACTGCCTGTCAGAGGCTGTGGCACGGGCCAAGGAAGGGCTCCCCAAAGCGCCCGTCCGCTTCACTGCGGAGAACCTTGCAGACCCGGGGGAGTGTCTGGCAGAGACCGACGCGCTCACCTTCTTCGAAGAAGAGCTGCTGTCGCCGATACAGCACATCGTGCGCATCTTCACGCTGCACGCTACTGGGCAGTGCGAACTGCGTGGCCATGTCGGCAACTTGTTTCAGAATGGCCCGCAGTGCGTGCGGCAGATCCCGGCCCTGGTCG